TTTCCTCCAGCAAACTAAGCCAACTGATGTCTCAACTTGCAAAGCATCCTGTGGACAAGAGCTGCAATGCTAATTTCTTCATTATATGGAAAATATAAGCAGTAAACCCTGCTCTTGTTTTTCATACATGGCACCCAGTTATTTCCCACCTGCATCCTAGTAAGTGAAAATGGGAAAGCTCCATATTTTAGTTGCCTTACCATCCAATCTTCTATGTACTTGTCATAGACCTTTATTCCTGACAGCTCTTTCTGTAAGCGAAGATTTCATTTCTTCACATAAAAAACCTGCTACATCCCTTTCATCATCACTTTTATCCTTCCCTGTACTTCTGCTAGATCTGCTAAAACCTTCGAGAGATTCACAGAATTACCACTGCTATATACTCTAACGTAATGATATTTGTTGATTTATTTCCCATTTCTCATTTTTAAATCTGCCTCACTAGACACAAGTCTGCAAGTGCTGACAACCTGCCTCATAGTCAAAGCAAACTCTTGATGTTAAATGTCAGGGTTTGCAACCTCAAGACAGCAATTTCTAAGCTGAGTTGGCCAAACAATCAGCAGCAAACTACTTATTTGAAGCTAGTTCTTCCTCATGTCTACCTGCTCAGAGGTATCAGAAAATAACTGATGATATTCATTAAACATATTCTTCACCTGAAATACGTCACATAGCAATTGTTTTAATTACTAAAGGGATGAAAAGTAATTAGAGGAAAATTCTGCAAATTCAGTCTGGACAAGAAACACCCAAGGGGAAGTCATCATTATAACGTCTTCCATGTGTTGCAAAAGTCAATTGAGGAATCCTTGGTGTTGTTGGCTCTCTTCTTTCTAAGCCCTTACTAGATGTACAAGGCACAGCCAGATGACCAAGCACGTTCCCTATCCTTGCTTCTGAACATGACACATATGGGCCCCCCACCACAAATGTGTCTTCTTTGAGAATATGAAAATCAATATCCCTTTATGGCATAGTGGATGAGTTAAATACATTTCAGTACAGCACATCAAGAAGCAGAGACACGATGCTCTGTAATTAAATAATGCTTTATACTGGCTCATGACAATGTAACACCAAGGCGACAGCACCTGCCATTTTCAAGTGAAGTAATTTACATAAACTTATTCCTCTACATCTATACCTCCAGCTGCATTCCATAATTTATACAGACATACAAATTCTTCCCTCTGACATTAACAAGAGAAACAAGTTGAATAATCAGCTTGCAGTAGTAAGTGCATTGCATTTACTATCAAGCAAGCTTTTTTAGTTCAGCAGATGATTAATCTTCCCTCTGCGGGTAGAGTACCAGGAGATGCAGAGAGCTGACAATTGCTCTCGGCTTCTGGCCATGCTCTCCACATGCTTACCTTGCAACAACAGCATTTGCTGGATCCCTCCAAGAGCTGCTCTAATTCATTAATCCAGCAAAAGAATTGGACAGCTTTCTGCCAGGTCAGTGAATTAAAGTGGCTCACGTAAGGAATGCCAGAGACAGTAAATAGGAGTGGGAGTTTGCGCTTGGAGCCAGATCTCTCCTTTCTGACAGCAGTGAATCTCTTAGATCAGCTCAGCTGCCAGAGGTACTGCAGCCTAATTAGCATCTCCCCTTGCAGCTAACTGTGCTGGGTGTTTCCATTAGGGATAAGAGCATCAAGGTAAACCAAGAAGGGGGAAGGGGGAAGAAACCAGGCAGCCCAGCATCATAAGTGAAATGTTGAGCGTCAACTGTTTAAGAGAAGGGCTGCAACAGGCAGACCAAGTAAGCCAAATAAGGTCCTGTACCTCAGCCTATTTTTAATCCAGGTCTTTCAGCTGTGCTTTGGGACAGTATCAAGAGAAAGGACAGATGCTTGGACATGAAGACCGAGAGGTCTTCCTGCCACATGCCAGGCTAGAAACAAAGCCTCACAGATGAGACCTGGTCCTAAAATAGAGATTCCAAAATATGAAGCTGTTTATATTACACCAACTATTGTGCCAATTTCTTTTCTATGCCCCAATCCTGAGACTCCAAATGCTTTCCACTACATTCAAACCTCCATAACCAAGCTCATTCTCAGCTCATGACACCAACCAGTCAGTCCCCTTTGTTCAGGATTTTAGACTGCGTATGAAGGCACGGACTTCGGCTCTCAAATTTATTTTACATAAGTTCACTGCTGATCATTGACCTCAGGCTCCCAGACCACTGTCTTTTCTCTCAGACACTACCACTAATCTCAAATCATTCTAGCTAACTAGCCAAGTTTCTATGAAAAGGTGCTCCAACCCTGTGTTTTAAGGACCCTTTTACAGACCACATTACTCTGCTGTGTAACATCCTACCAATGAGATCAAGCCCACTTTAAACCTTTAAAGTAGTTTAAACATCCTACCAATGAGATCAAGCCCACTTTCTATTAGTGACCTTTAAACTACTCCCATGTTCTTTGTTACTTCTGCAATTACCCTAAAGGTTATCAGCCTGAAAAGCAGGAAAGGTCCCTATCTGACCACACCTTTTGCTATCTCCCTCTGTCCTGCCAACACGACCAGTCACAGGCCTTGTTCTTAAAAGCAAGCAGGGAACTTATCTGTTCGGCTGAAGGAATTTCTGAATCATCCCATGGGAGCACAGGCTTCAAGTCAGCAGCTAAAAAATCCACTGGCTGTTGAGTCTGGGGTATCGCCTTCACACACGTGACAGCAGCTGTGCTTGTCAGTCACAGCAATGGGAGGGAAGGCTCATTCCTCACCCATGACAGCTTTTTGCTCTATTAAAGTTAGCACTGTTGTTTGAGCAAGATGGTAAAATGGTTAAAGGAGAAGATGCCTTAAAGCATAACAGTCTAGTCCATATGTGTCAAACAAGTAATAGCCAACACACGTGATGGACAAAATGCTTAACATTAGCTGTAGATGTTTAAGATGAAATAACCAACCTGTTTTGCTGTATTTTAACAGCATTCTTTAACTTGACTAACTACTAAGCCTTCTTGCTTCCTCTAGGTCCTACATCATTAATCAGCATACTGAGGAGAAGAAGAGTTACAAGGAATTACATCCTAAGGCAGCCCACAAAATGAAAATAACTTCATAGAGGACTCCTAGACAGAAAGATAAAGAGACTTGGAAGATCCAAGTGGATGTGAAAGTCTGGTGTGAGAAAAGCCCATGGTTGAGGCAATTTACCCTGCTCCCACAGGTTTCTTCATGTGCCACCATGTGGGATCCTCTGGGTTTGATCAGTCCCAGGCAGAGCAGCCACAGCAATGCCCTTGTGTGTGCCCCTAGCCTTTCCCAGCCAGCTACGGCCACAAGCCTGACTCTGCATGTTCAGCTTGCACGTCTTTAACCACATCAAACAGTCACTCCAGACGTGCACACCTGTTTCCAACAGCAATACAAGTGCTGTGTGTTATTCAGCCTGTTTCTAGGATAACCCCCTGCCAGTCAGGCTCCTTCCACAGCCTCCTGGCAACACCGCTGCCTGCCAGCAGTCTCCCAGCAACACTCCCTCCCACACAGATGGGCTCCCAGTCCCTCCTCGCAGGCTAGCCACAGGCTGTGGGCTCCTTGGAGCCAGCATTAGTTGATGAAACACAGAGCTCAGCCCTGCAGAGCCACAGAGATGGCTCCTAATATGGAAGAGGAGCAGGAAGGCTGGCAAGAGCTTACATCCAAGGTCAAGGCTAACATCATTTCCATTAAAAAGAAATGCTCTTAAGCTCTGGACAAGGATGGGAACAGCAAAAACACACAGGGAAAGCCGCTGCCCTGTTTTTTATTCCCTGTTTCCAGCTTCCTCATCCAACTGGCAGTGCCTGAGGCAGTTGTTTGCTGGAGATGGGCAACCCAAATCTTACATGTTGGAATGGTATTGGACAATCTGGTGCTAAAATGATGACTTCCACTTCTGCACACTGCATCAGCTCTTAGTTTTATTTCCTGTGTGGTCCTTCCTTATCTACTTTTTTTTGCCAAGCAAGGCACCCTAAGCTCCTTTTGCACACTACCGACGTGCCTTACAGAATATGTACTTTTTCAAGGTGCCAAAATTGTGGCATTCCCAGGAAGAAATCCAAGGTGTTCTTATCGAAGTCACGACCAATGGCGCCAACGATGCAGCCACTGCCCAGTGCAGAAGGAGCAGAAGCACACATCAGGAACCATTGAACACTTGAGCTGGCACTATCAGTTCCTCCAACTGTTGGCACTGAATTCATTCAGTACTTACCAGGGGAAAAAATAATCTCTACAACCCAAACACCAACTACAAGTAAAACTGAAAGCATTAACAGATTAAATCCGCCCCTGAGCGCCGAAGGCTCTCACCATAAGGCTCTTTATTAGGAAGTTAAGTCTTAACAAGTGGCTTAAGGGGTGGATAAAGCTTTTCCTGGGATAATCTGCCAGCATGTTGCCCAGTGCCAGTTCCAGGCCATGGAAAGAAGAAAGAAAATATATAAGATGATGAAAATCTTGGTTTGGCAAATGGATGACCAGTAACTGAGAGCTCATCTCCTATCCCTACTCCCTGAAGCTCCCTGCTGTCTTCAGAAAGTCAAAGAAAAGTCATTTTCTACTCTGTTAGCTTCCTGAAAACAAAACCACATTGGGATTACACCTAAGATGCACGTGCTCACCCTAATTCTTTGTACTGTCAACCCTCCAGAATTTGTCTCTATCACATCTATTTGAACCATTCGCCAATTAACACAAAGTAATTAACACTTTTGTAAGAGACTGTCTTTGGACTACGCCACCATGGTAAAACCACCATGATCATGATTTCAAGTACTACTGTTCTCTGCAGGCACCAATTTACAAGGGGAACATGCAAAAGGGGAAACCCAGTAATGGAAGGTCAGAAGCCACGTTTTGTTTGCAAGTCTCTCCTTTCAAGTCTACTGCTGGTTTGCTGCACGCTTGAGAAACAGCAGCCTAATCAGAGGCTGCTTTTCCCCAGAGCATTGTGCCCTTCTGGCTGGGCAGCCGTGTGCACTTACTGCAAGAGATCCGTTCTGCGTGCTGGCCGTGTTCGTGCTCTGCTCTCCATGCGGCTGCGTGCTTCCGTAGAGCGTCAGATTGTGCTCGCTGGTCTGGCCTGCATAGTCCTGAGTGTGTGGCACCCCATACTCTGTGGGAATCCCATTCTGTGGGGGTGGCGGAAATGGGATTGTGGTGAATGGCTGCACCATTGCATCAGGAGTTGCTGATGGCTCCTGGTTACCCTTAAGAAAGGAAAAAGGAGAAAACAGCTTTATACTACAGAAGATAGATCAAAACATCAGCCTGAGAAACAACACACGTTCATGTGAATATCCCACCCACCGTCACCATAGTATTCCACAGTCTTCTATTATCTCTCCTATCAAAAAGCACATGCCTTGCTCCTCTGAGCCATGACACTGTTTTCTTAATCTTTTCAGGGCAATTTTCTTGCTACTGGGTGGCATATAGCGAACAAATTACAGGGTTTGCAGATTGCATACCCCTGTGATCTCACACAAAGCTTTACACACAGTAAGGTATTATTTCAGAAGAGGGAAGAGGCACTCACACATTGGAACAGAGAAGGAAACAGAGAAGAACGGCGTTTCTCAACATCCCTAAAAGTACCATAACTGGGTCCATCTCCTCCTGCCTGACCCTCATTGCTCACAAGCAACCCCACAAGCAAGCACAACATGTGGTTCAAAGCACACCTCTCTGTTATGTTACAGTGATAAAAAGTACAGTTTTTTAAATCCATCTGTGCAGAAGCCCCCTCCTTTGCCCTGACAGCACTGTGTACACAGCACAGTTATCTGTTGCTGGAATATCTCATTTGCTTCTTGCTGGCCATGCAGGAGACACGAAAGAGCTGTAGGGAAACAAGCTGAGATCGCAAGCCAGCCACACAGTCACTCTTTCCCAATCCTGAGCATCTCTACAATCACACAAGGCATTAATTACCCACTCCTGCCTCAGCTCAGGGTATCCCACAGAGACCACTTGCATAGTGGACTTCTTAGAAGCTTTTAGCGCTGTCTTAGATGTAGCTAACACCAATCAGATGACTCAGAAACAAAGAACTGACCATGCAAAAGATATCCCCAGAAGACAATAAAAATGCTACCCCACCATGTCAGAAAACCACAAGAAGGAAACAAAAAAGCATGCAGCCCTACAGCCTCTGCAGGGATCTCACCAAGGGGGGAGCTGCATTCAGCCACCCGGGGTGAAGGAGAACAGCCTTGACATTGAAGCCCAACCCTGGGAAGCCCAGGCTGCTGCACCGCTCCTACTGCTTTCACCGCCGCAGCAGAAAAAAATCCACAGAAAAGATTTATGATAGGAGGGCTGTTTGATTTATGTGCGTGTCAACAGACTAATCCTGATTTTAAATTTTGGCTGCTGTTCCAGCCCTGGGTCCTCCCCCACAAAGCCTGGAGGTGCTCGAGGCTATTCTGACACCAGCATGCTTAAATCAATGGAGTAAAAGCGAAACAGACCTTATCCCGTGGATAGGAAAGGCAGAGTGGGAATTACCAAGCAGCCTTTCAGCAGAGAGCATGCAGGGGCTGACGGACCTCCAAAGAAGCCGGACAAACCTTCCAGTCCCTTTATCAGCCTACCTGCAGCTTTCCCTTCCGGGCGGAGGAAACAATGATAAACGCAGTGCACCTCCAGCCAGCACCGGGTCATTCAGACACTGGCTGAATCCCAAATTTGCTCTGACATTAGTCTATCTGGTCTGCCTCCCCTGGGGGCCACGTGGCCACGCGCTCCTGCAGCTGGGGAGAAGGAGAGGGAAGGGCATTCAATACCACTTAGCAGAGCCGAGCTGCAGCCTTGGCCCGTGCTGAAGAAGGGAAGGTTTCAAGTCCAGCCCTGCTGCCTGCAGGAACACAAACTCTGCAGCCTTATCTGAGAATGAAGAATTCAGGCGAGCATGCCAGCCACAGCCAGGGCTCGGCTCCTTGCTCGCACTCCCCCAAGCAGTTGCAGCCCTGCGTCGCGTGCTCGCAGCTCTGCGGAGGTTTTTTCACGCACCAAGCACATTTTCTGAAAGCAGGACAGGATTTTTGTTTCCTCCTCAAAAAAGGAGGGCAGTTCCACCAGCCCTCCAGTTCTGCTCATTCCTTTGCTATTGTCAGCTTCAAAACAAGCCACTTCTGACTCGACCTAACCCATCACCAAGATCTGCAGAGCGGGTTCTAAAGCAGGAGGCAGGACAGACAGAACGATGGCCATCCCACTGCAAACCAGGTACCAGGAATCCTACTGCTCACCTGCTCAGACCGTTTGTCCCCTGACATGACAGCTCCATTCTGTCCACGTACTGTCTCCTTTCCAAGCTCTTCTGTTTACAGTATTTCATTGTATTTGATGGTCTGCATTCTTCCCTACAGCCCACATGGTCTGCCCCCCTTTCTTACGTTTCAAATAGGAGCTAAATAGGAAACTGACTTTTTCTTTTCAATGAAATATTTTTCCACAGGAAAAATGGAGGAGCAGAAACTATTTCCAGTCTTCTTAGAACAAGCTAGATTTCCAAGCCAGCAGAATCCCAGGTCAGAGGAAAAGAATGCTGATCAGCCCCAAACAAAATCTATTCTGCCATCCTGTCAACAGGGAAGGGCTGCTCCCCAAAGAACATGGTCCAGCATTCTGTACAGCCTCACTCTCAGACTGTTTAAAATGCCAGCCCAGGAACCTTATATAATCTTATTTTCAATGTTTTTACCCCTCAGTTAATACCGTTCCTTCCAGTTTAAATGCATTTCAACCTTTTAAGTATTTTCTCTCCTTTCTTCAATTATCTATCTACAAATGTTTGAAGGATGAAAAATACTTACTCTCTCCTCTGTTCCTTGTGGCACTTTGATAACACATATTTATTTTTTGTTTAATCACACCTCTCAAGCCAAAATATCCTGGTAACTTTATTTATTACTTCTCTCTGACCTTCCTAAGACTTTTCAAAGAAGGATTTCTGGTGCAGAAGAAAATGCTTTTAATACCATTGTCACTCCCCCACTCCTCAAATCACACTAACATGCAAAAATCATATCTTTTATTACAAATGCATCCTTTATTTAATGTCTCAGGTTATCTGGAGATCTATCATTATTATATTTGTCCAGGTTTCATCATCCCATGGAGTATCTGTATCTCAAATTATTTTTCTCTTGATATGATTATGGACATATTTCCCGTCTGATTTTTTTTTTTGTAATTTTAATTTCCTTTGATGCTTTAGAATTACTTTTTTCCCTGTTTCCACTAGCATCAACAGAAAAGGACTCCTGATGAGATCTCTGCAGGTTTCACAGCATACTGATATCCTCCAAACCCAGAGGAGATTCTACCTCTTCTGTTATTCTACCAAATTTCAACATTTACACAACACTTCATATTTTCAAGAGCTAACACAGAACACACACATACACACACAAATCCCATTAATCTTCAAATACAGAGCCTGAACTCCTTTCCCTACTTCTAAACCACCATGTAAAATTCTGCATTTAGAGGTGCTGCTTGTCACACTTCTCAGGAGGTTGTAGAGAGAATGGAGAAACCCCCACATTTCCAGGTAAAGGAAAGTATTTTGTCTATCCAATCTTGACATACCTCACTGCACTGCCAATCCCTCCTGTTTTAGCTCATGAAGATGTCTTAAAAATTTACTCAAATGCAACAAGAAATCCAGATAAATCATGTCCAAGAGCAGTCACCGGCCCCAAACTTACACAAGGATGCCACCACAGGACTAGGAAAACCAGGGTACAGCTCCCCACAAAACCTACTACCACCTTAAACTTCTGTGATAGTATGAAGTAAATTTTAATCCATGTTCAGGAGCAGACAGACACCTCTCTTGGCCACAGTGCATCAGGCTGGCAGTCTCCAGGAGATGAGTGTGAGGGACGTTTGGTTGCAGGAATAATTTTGGCATTTCCAGATTAACTGATTAGCTTTGCCAGTTTGTGCTGCCATGCACCAACCATTGTAACTGCCATCCCATGTTCAAACTGGGAAAGACTGTTCAGTGCAAGTGAAACAGTGCAATTAACACACACTCCTTAAAAAAATTTAAAAATCACACTTGAGTAGGATGTATGTTAACCTATAGTTCAAAGAAAAGCAGTAATTCCTGTGCTTTCTCTTCCTTCTGATGCTCTCTTCCCACAGAAATCATTCATTCGCATCAGGTAGGAATTCAAAGCAGCTGCCCCCTTGCAAAATGTTGGCATCTGATTCATGAGCACCCAAGCCCTCAGGGCACAAGAAGGATATGGTTACCCATCTGGGCTCTGCTTTCAGGCCCCTATTCTCAGCCCTGCAAAGGTCCAGTCACGTCCTTGCAGGTGCCAACTTTCTTCCTTAAGTCAGGGGTTTGCCTACACAGATCAGTACAAACCGATCCCGCACTTTGTTTAAAAAACAAATTAGCTAAAGCAGTGAAAAATCCCTCATGGGGAAACATTTCTAAGAGCTTATGCAGCTTTAAGTTAATTAATGAACTCTGCAGCTCCAAGCTAAGCAGAGGAACGATGAGTAACCGATGAGTAACTGCACGTGGCGATACCTTGCAGAAGGGTGGGAGCTGGGGACAACAACTCAACAAGGAGCAACGAGGTTCAGCAAATGTGACACAGGATGAATTCTTTCAGCAGACAGCAGGTGGTGATCCAAGATCACGGCACTGGAGCGCCAAGAGCAAACACCAGAAATGCACACAAAGGCCTCCTGCTTCCATAAAACTGTCAAAGATCAGTCTGTTCTGTGAAGGAGTGGTTTTGTTTTCCTCATTAGAGAAATGGGTGTAAGTAGAGGGATATGAAAGGAGCCTTATAGCAATGCAGCTCCAGATCTCTTCTGTATTGCTATGTCATAATATGCATAGAAAGTAAAGCCTAACCAGCCAAATAAAAATGATACTCGTGATAAAGCTAAACTAGTAAAATTTCTGTATAGATGTGGCAAACTGCCGCAAGGTAACTGGTCTGTGTTACCCATAACCCTACTGTGAGTCATCAGCACCACAAAAAGGTGCAGGGAAATGGTACAGCACACAAACATCAAACAATTTCTTAAAAATGCCTTTGAACTCTGCTATCCCCCAAATCACTGGGATGTGGGTATAAGCTTATTTAGTGGAATGGGGTTTCTAATACATATGTCTTCACTGAACTAATTTTATGAATCCTCAAAGCAACTGACTCACAGCTAACAGAGGCAA